CCCAGTGGAATAGCAAACCAACTCAAAACCTTTCTCACTTCAATAGTAGGTGCCATTGTAACTTGTCCAAGCAAAACCAAATAGTATGAGGACCTTCTTTTTGGTGTTGTTTGTAATGGGTGCAACACAAAAGAAACCTCACTGTTTACATAACACAGGTTGACCAATCTAAAAAACAACATACACACCAAAATAACAAAAAATTTAGTAGAAAGTCTGGATTCGATAGTAAGGTTGTTGGAACATGAAGAACGTGTATTTGAGTCAATTGAAAAAGAAGAAGAGGACGACATGACCAAGATTATTAAAAAAACAGTTTGTCTTGACCAAGTTATGGTTATTTGTTGATTAAAAAGGAAAGAGCATTTTGGGGATTAACAATTTCAAACAAGTTGATAACCATTTTCAAGTCAGTCAACAAAGCACTTGGTTCAGTTACAATTATCAATTCTTTTGAGAGAGCGGTAATTGTATCGAGTTTAGGAGAGGATGTTTAGTATTATGCATACATGGATCTGAAAGAATCCAGGAGAATGCTTGAAAAAATACCAACAATTAAAACTTTTGATGGATACGAAAATTTAATTGTTGTACCAAAAGACTCAAAAACAAATTAACAAGGTCAAAGTGGTGCCACCAAAACATTTTAAAAGAGCTCAACAACTAAAGAATGATATTTATACAGCAAAGTGTCATGGACAACACGTCACCTGTATTTACAGAATCAATTTGACACAACAAGTTTTTACAGATACATCTTTGACAATGCCTGATACCACAAATTTTGTTGGAGAAAATGTGTCATTACCAATGGAAACTGAAGAATTAACAGAAATTGATACATCAGACAATTTAAGTGAAAGTAAACCACTTGATAAATACACAATCCAACTTGTTTATTAAAAGGTGATGACAAGTCACTTTTAATTAACAACTTATTTATTAGTTCTTTTCAATCTGATCAAACACTGTCGAATATCGAACCCCAAATGTCCAAACTGGTATTCAAAACACCACCATTACACCAGAAGTAGATGCCGTTGTTAATTTAAAATTATATAACAATAAATAGTAATCATATATATCTATTAGATTTAAATTTACAAATAACAAATACTTAATCTATAACAAAAATATGTCAAGGTTCTTCACTCAAAATATATGATTCCTAGACATTGTTACAAATAGACATTGGTACCAACCCTAAGTGAAAATAATTTGAAACACTTTTGAAAAAAACTTCTTCCCAAAAGTGATTTTTTTAAAATAGAACAACAATTTTATTTAAATTCATTATTAAATTTAATAACTTTTTAGAATAATTTTTAAAATTATAAAACTAAATATTTATAAGCAAAATTATTTGTTGCGTTATTTTAAAAACAGAATTAAACCAAGAAAAAACCAAATTGAGCATCCACTTTTATCAGTTGATAGTGAATGTTATGCTTTTAACAGAAAAGCAAAGATGGTTGTGTTATATAAATGCAGTGGAGATGGTTGTAAAATTCTTGTTATAATAACAGATAACAACACTTTTAAAATTGAAGGTTCTCAAACTTGTTTTATAAATCATGAAGAGTTGTATCTTGCAAGATGTCGCAGAGAAATTATTAACAATGAGCTTGATTTAAATGTTACTCAAAACATAAGACAACTGATCAACAAAATAGTTTTGCTACCCGATTGTGACAAAGCATCTGAAAAAGATATTGAAGCATGTGTTAAATATGCAAGTCGTTTCCAAGATAAAATTTTGGGAACTAATAAACATTCTTACCAAGAAACTACAATACAGTTCTAGTGTCAGTTTAATTAAAATAACAGAACTAATAACTATTCAAAAGGATTTCATAGTGGAGTTGGATTCCTTGTAACTGTAGCACATCCTAAGTTGTTGGTTTTAATTGACATCCTCAAGAAAATTGAACCTAAAACTAAAATGAAATGGAATGACATGATAATGGGTAATGTTATAATACAATACAAAAAGAATGTCACTGATCTTCAACGTAAACTATTCATTTCCATGAACAATTATACCGAAAATAATATCTATCGAATTTGACTTATTTGGATTCTATTTTTTCGTTATACATTAGTTACAATTTGAATGTCCAATTTGCGCGTGTTAATAATTTGTAATTCAGTTTTGTGTTGAAAAAATGAAAAAAGAAATTGAGAAAATCACACAAAGAACAACAACATTGGATTTTTGATGAAGAAGGTTCACAAATAGATAATAATCAAGTTGTGCCATTAGACATGGAAACAGAAACGGAATTTACTTCATTAAATGTTTTAAATCAAACAACTTTTTCGTGTATTACGGATTTTAGTATAATTCAACCTCGAGATGATCAGCCTTTATTCAATCTCAATTGTAAACTATCAGCCAAAGACGAAAATCAAGTGCCCAATTTTCTTGAAATGGATATAATACATATAGAATGTGAAGAAGATAAAATCAAAGACCTTGTGACAATAAAGAACACGAAAACAAAAAAAATAACCTTGAAAAGAAGCCAAAGAAACCCGAAGCAGATAAAAATGTGTGCATCGTAAAAAACATACAACAGTCCATTATTTAAAAAATTGAAAACAGCAAAAGCAAAAAGTAAAAAAAAATATTTTTTGTTGTTGTTTTAAAAAATCACTTTTGGGAAGAAGTTTTTTCTAAAGTGTTTCAAATTATTATCACTCAGGGTTGGTACCAATGTCTATTAGTACCAATTTTTAGATACCAAAATATATATGTCATTTAAAGCTGTATCTAATTTTGCAAATTATAAAACATATATTATCAATTCATAAGAAAAACTACAATAACAATTTATGATAGTTTTGAATCAAGTGTTGTTTATAATGCTTTTAATTCCAGAAACAATTTATGGTAAACTATCGTCGATGGTCTGAGATATTGAAATTAGAAATTAAAATATAGTAATTTTTAAAACACTAAATGATTGAATTAGTAAAAATTGTAAAATTAACTTTATTATTATCATACATATTTCTGTTAATATTTATTACAGTATTAAAAATATTTACATATTTGTTTAAAAAAAGATTATTCAAATTAATAGGCAAACAATATTATCAACAGATATAACACCAAGAATACATAGTGTATAATGTTTAAAATACTAATTCTAACTGTAATACGATATAATATTCAGAATCATTATTGATTATATTATTTTTGTAATCAGTAAACTATATTTTTATTTTTCTTTTATTGTCTTTGATTTCAAATGATTTTTGATTATCGCTGTTAGCAAAAATTATAAAACCATCTTGTGAAGGATAATCATTACTAGAATTCAAATCACTTCTTAAAATATTTCCACAATCAATTTGACCAGATGAATTATAAAATCGAGTAGCAATTGTGTTAATATATTCATTATTAGTAGAACAAACAAATTCAATTGGTAATTCAACTTCAAATTGATATGTATTTATTACTTTGCAATTATTATTATGTAAATTCATATATAATTATCTCATTTTATAATATAAAAATAAACTTATATTTATAAAACTTCTGTAAAAAATTGTATTCGCTTCGACTTCATTATGAATATGGAATTGCAAACGCCAACAAAGTTTGCTTAAGCATGAAGTGCAAAACAACATGGAATCGTATTTATCATTGTCATCAAGTTTACATACTATGTTACCATGATCATATTATTATCATTGTCGCCTTAGAACTAAAATTGTTACTTGTCTTTCTGAAAGTATTGTCTTTGCTATTATCCAAATATATTATTAACTTGTCTCCATGTTTATAAGATAAAAATCCATTTTCAAATTGTTTATATA